TTCTAAAGTTTCCGTACCATATCAGATTTGAGAATGTTCTAACTTTTAAGTTTAACCAATTCTTGTTCGTTGCAATCTAGCTTTGAAATGTCAGATGAAGAAAAAGTTGCAAACTTTATATTTTTTTGTCCCTAGGGTAGAGAGATAATCTGAGAGATCTTACAAATTGAATTTGGGTGTTTGAGAATATGTGTAATAGAGAGACTTTTTTGTTTTGTTTTGTTTTGTGTTTGGTGGACTATTAAAGCAGGTGAAATGGGAAGAGAAGTTGTTGAGGTGCTTACGGACCGAAACGCCGACGTTTCAAGCGGTAGAGTTCACGTTGCTCCTAAGATAGCTGCAGCTGAGTCTGAGGAGGAATTTGAAGTCAAGGAATGCACCGAGGAGGATTCTCTTTCCGAGAATGCACCTAAAGTCGAAACTCCTGAGAAAATCGGAGCTCAAAAATCGCCTAAAACCCGAAATGCTAAGGTTTTAAAGGTATTGCTAATTTCAAAAGATACTGGTTTTGAAAAATTGAGCCTTGAAGGCGATTTTGAACGGTTTGTTTATGTGTTTTTGTAGAACGATGTTCATGCTCCTGCGGTGAGGAAGCCATTGCAACCTGAGAACAAGAAGCATATCGATGACGATGATAATTGCTCAATCGCTTCTTCGTATGATTTGCTTGACTTTATTATCTGATACTTGATGCTTATGTTTTATATGTTCCTTAACGGTATCTATCTACTCCCAGTGCTACAACATCAATGAGGATGGGTAAGTCTGGAGTTACTCATGGAAGTGCTCCAACCTTTAGGAGTGCTCAGCGCGCCGAGAAACGCAAAGAGGTGAGTAAATCTTCCATGTTTCTGCTTCCATATCTCGGTTGAGTACGCGATAGTTGTCTAGCAAAGCCAACATAAACTTATAATTAGAAACATAGTTTGCACTCTATCATATACAATCCACTATTGTTCTGTTTATTGATTGATCTTTTGTGGGGATTTTGTGGTTTAGTATTACCAAAAGCTTGAAGAGAAAAACCAAGTGCTTGAAGCTGAAAGGAACGAGCTTGAACAAAGGCAAAAGGTAAAGCACACATTTTCCAGTAGATGCAGTCTTTTCGGATTTTCAAAATCGAAAACCTCAATTGATATCAATGGTTTGCAGGAAGAGCAAGAAGCAGCCTTGAAACAACTTAGAAAGAATCTCAAGTTCAAGGCTAAACCCGTCCCCAACTTCTACTACGAGGCGCCTCCTGCAAAACCCGAGCTCAAGAAGGTATCTTTCGAACCAAAACCCAAGCATTGTTCTTGTGACTAAGTAGCTCATGTTATGTTTCTTTCTAGCTTCCTTTGACGCGTCCCAAATCGCCAAAACTCATCCTTTCTCGGAGAAAAAGCTTCAGCGACGCAATCAGCTCGTCTTCCCGTGAAGAGACTCTGAAGACAGCCTCTAACCGGAACCGACACAGTACTGGAACAGTTCAGAACAAAGAAGATCCCAAGAACAAGAACACCAATGCCGCGCACGATAGCCCTCGTGTCAGATCAGGCAAGGCTAAAGCGGGATTGAAACCGGTTAACGAGTGTTCAGAAGAAGCTTCTGAGGCTTGAAGAAGTTGATGAATGATGATGATGCTTTGTTGGTCTGTGTTTACTACTCAAACTAACTTTGATCCTACCAGAGAAAGTTTAAAATCAGAACAAAGACTATTTGTTTTTCGGTTATTTCCGGTACTATATGTTTGGTACACAATGTAACCTTCTCGGTTTTAATTGTAAACGTGAAACTTTTTTATGTTGATTGTTGATGAACTTCCTCCTAATGTTGAAATTTGTATATTTGTGAGTGTTTTTGCCTTTTTGGATTAAGTAACAAAGAAAATTATCTAGTCAATTATTTACGGTATGAAACCGGTTAAGGGATTCTTGATTAAGGTAAGATTAATTTTCCCTGATCTTTCTCTAATCGATGATTTTAGTAACCAAAGCTCATAATTCTAACAGACTTTTGGGTTCCAGAGAGCAAAACGGTAG